CGAGGGGGAGGGAGTTTGTACAGGATCAGGTAACACTGGGGAGTTTCCCCTGCTCCCGGCCCACCTCCAGCTGCTGCCCTGCTCCTCCTCCTCAGACCTTCCAGTGCTAACTAGTACGTGTTGAACTAGTGTTTTTTGCTGCTGATTCTGAAAAACTCTAGACAGAAGAGAAGGTGAAAGAAGTAGTACAAAGATTGTATATATTTACTTTTAGAGACAGGGGAAGGGAGGGAGAGAAGCATCGATTGGCTGCCTCTCGTCCACGACAGCCTGGGACTGGACCTGCCCCGAGTGGAAATAGAACCAGACCTTCCACTCTGCGGGACCACACCCCACCCACTGAGCCACACCGGTCAGGGTAGGATACGTTTATCAGAGCTGAGGACAGCAAGACCAGGAAGGGCTCAGCTTAGAACAAGCACCAGGGGAGCCTTGCCTGGGCTGCCTTAGCAGTGAAACGAAAGGGGGCTTTGGGCACCGGTGCAGGGGGTCGGCTGGGACAGCGGCCAGCTGCCTTAGAGGGTAGGAGACAGGCGCCTGTGGGTAAAGCGAAGGGAAAGGAAACGGCCCGGGCTGCTCCCCAGAGAGCTCATGTGCTGGGTCCTTTGTCTTTCTCTTTAACTCTCTTGCAGGTGGGAATCTCAGCAAAGGTCTCAGGGGAGGGTCTCAGTGGATTATTACCACTTCTGCAGGCGTGCTTTCAGGATCAAGGTGTCCACTGCTTGGTCAGCGCCAGGCAAGGGGTCTTTGGTCACTGCAGTTGGTTCTGGAGTCACCCGCCTGGCTTTGCTGCTTTTCTGGGCCCGGAGCTGACGCACAACCGGGACCTAGACATTATGTTCAGCCACTGTGTTCAGCTGTCTGTGTCAGTTTCCCTGCGCCACTTGCCAAGGAATCTGCCTAGCCTCTTTCCTATCCTGTCTCATCCCTGCAGTGTGTCTGTCCCAGGACGCTGCGGGGGCGGGGCGGGGTACTCAGGCCCAGACAGTGTCTCAGGCCAACCATCCCGTGGGAAAAGGAAACGTGTCTAGAGACACCCACGGCCGGGATGGCTTCGAGACCCAGAATCCCACCCCTCCCACACGCGGAGAGGAGAAAGGAAGAGGAAGAAGGGAGACTTCTAGACTCCCTCTCCCTAGGCTGCAGGCACCTTTTTCCTGCTGAACTTGTCGAGTTCCTACTAATTTCCTTGTCTCAGCAGCCAGTACACGTGGGCCCCCAGGAGGCGTTGAAGGAAGCTCGTTGAATAAAGAATTGTGAGGCCCTCAGGGACAGCGTGTGCTCATCAGCCTGGAAGTCCCTGAACGCGGCGTCACAGTTACAGTAAGTGATCCAAACGCAGGGAGGGAGGAAATGCCCCACCCCGCCCCCAGCCTCCTGAGCTGTAACCCCGGGGTGAGAAAGGCTCTGGGGGCACGGGGTCAGAGACGCTCCCTTTGTCACTTGGAGCCCCTGGGGGCCTCATTAGCTCTCCTGGGCCCCAAGGTAGGCAGTTGCTACCCTGAGAAATATTTCCTGCAGCTCAGTCTGGCTCACCAGAATCACCAGTGCGGGGCGGCGGCTCGGCACATCTCAGAGAACTGCCCCTCAGTCACTAACACTTGGCTTTAAAGTGTGTTACGCTCCTTGGAGGGGGTGGCTAAGACAGCAGAGGCCGCCCCAGTTTCCGGCCAGGGCCTTGCTGGCTGAGCAGTTCCCACGTCCTGTCTCTCTGGAGTGGCTGTTCTCGGGAAACTGCCACGCTGGCAGAAACCCACATCACTCGGAGAGGCCGCACGTATGTGCTCGGGTCCACAGCCCCAGCCCAGCCCCCGGCCAACGACAGCATCAACGGTGGCCCTGTGACTGGGCCACCTGGGACATCCACCAAACCTTCCAGGGGCTCCGGTCCCAGCCGTCATGTGAGAGAGCCTGACAGAGAAGGACCCGCTGAGCCCAGTCAACCCCCAGAGACGTGAGCACTGTGTTCGCTCCTGGGGCTGCCTCACCCCAGGACCCCCAGGACCCCCAGGACCTCCAGGACCCCAGACTGTGTGGCTCCAAACGACCTTGTCTCACAGCTCTCGAGCCCAGAGGTCTGAAACCAAGGTGTCCGCAGGGCTGCGCTGCCTCTGGAACTTCTAGGGGAGGGTCCTTCCTTCTCTCTCCCGGCAGCAGGGGCCCCAGGCCCACCTTGGCCTCTCGGGAGCATCACTGCAGCCTCTGCCTCCTTCTTCACGTGGCCACACGGCCGTCTTCCCTCCAGGTGTCCCTGTGTCCGAATTTCCCTCCTCTCATAAGGACGCCAGTTCTATGGGGTTCGGGCCCAGCCTGGCGGCTGCATCTGAACTTAAGAGCATCTGCAAAGACCCTATTTCCAAGTAAGTTTTATTCAGAGGCACTGGTGGTTAGGACATGTGTGGGGTTTTTTTTTTGGCGGGGGTGGGGGTTACTCAATTTAACTCATAACAACAGGTGAGAATAAATTGTTGTAAGCCCCTTTGTTTTGGAGAAGTTTGTTCTGCAACAAGAGAAACCAGAACACTGGCTGACACTCCCTCCGTGCACAGCTGCAATGTAAACTAGGTGTCTAAGGGAAGTCGGTTTATGGTTCACAAGTGGATGTGCAGGCCCTGACCCATGTGGCTCAGTTGCTTGGACATCATTCTGCAAGCGAAGGGGCGTGGGTTCGATTCCCAGACAGGGTACGTGCCTGGGTGGTGGGTTCGGTCCCCGTCGGGGCTAGTGCGAGAGGTGACTGATTGATGTTTCTCTCTCACATCGATGTTTCTCTCTTTCTCCTTCCCCTTCCCTCTCTCTAAAACTAAATAAATCTTTATTTAAAAAGCAGATCTGCAGGTAACGGAAATAAATAGAAGTTTGACTTGGTTTTAGTACAGAATTGTTTTAATTTTTTTCTCTCCTTACGGTATTTTGTTCATTAATCTCTAGGTACTTTTGTACAAAATTCACTGTCTTCATTCTAAGCCTACTGTCTATGAGGAGTGTGTGGGAGCTGGAAGGCTTGTGCCTGTCCCTGACTAGCTGTGTGATCTCAGGCAGATTAACCCGCCTCTCTGGGCATTCCTGTCACTCATCCAACCACCACTTATCAGGACCCTGCAACGCGCTGGCGGAAGGGGATCGAGCGTTCACACAGCCCAGCCCCTCGCTTCACAGACCAGGAAGCTGGGCCCGGGGCGGCGGGGGGAGCTGCCAGTCACACGGCAGCTGCACGCTGACACGTTTCATCTGTGAAGTGACGGGTTTGGGACAAATGTCCTCAAAGGCTCATCCTAGTCATTAAACCGGTTCTGATTCTAAAACCATAAATCTATACTTTACCCATTTTGAATTTAAAAAAAAACACACACACGACGTTTGATTCAGCTGAGTGAGTGCATTTCTGAGCCTCAGAAACCGTGGCTGCAAAACTGGGCCGCCACGATTTCCTTGACTTTGATGCTCATGAATTATGAAGCCGGTGAATAGAAAGTTTCGTCGAACCCTCAGCAGCTGCGGTGATTCTTTTTTTCTCCTTTTGGTTTGCATGACTTTGATGATCCTGTTTTTACTAATCTTAATGATGTCTCCCAACTTTTAAAAAGCCCCCAGAATACCTCATCAGGGCAAAGTTGAGTCACGGGGCTCCCGTGCAAAGAGCCCAGCCTTAGAAAGTACACTCTGTGGCTGATTTAATAGAAAAGAAATAACTCTACGAGACCAACATGGAAAAAAAAAAAGGTGAGTATACGAGTACACTCATGTATCATTTCTTTGAAAACAGGAAGAAATCTGCAACGCATGGGTATGTGTTAGCACGGACTGAGGGTCAAGTCCAAGTGTGCCTGGTCCCAGAGTAGACAGCCTTCGGGGTCCGCAGGCGCGTTTGTGTCGATGAATTGCTTCTGGACGTGAAAGGCACATCTTGTAAGATCCAAGTAGACAGTAACGCAAAGCACGTGCTGGGTGACAAGATGCTTCCATAATGTGCCACGAGAAGACAGTTTAAGACTGTGTTTTGGCCAAAACGTCCTACGGTGAGAAAGTGTTTCGGAGTCGTCAGGGTGTGGTGTCAGCCTCTGTGGGCTTTGAATGTTGCAAGTCTGTTCCAGGAGCTCGCGGGGAGGCATAGGGGACCGTCTCTTTGCCGGCGGGCACTCATCGGCTTCTCCCTCTCGGTTCCCAAATTCTCCTTCCGTGTGCTCACGTGCGGTCATTGTCAGTTTCCCGTGCACGTCCCCATCCAGGCGTGCGTGTCTGTGGAAGAGAAACAATGTCTGAACTCTCTGGGTGCCCCCCTTATCTGCTGGTGCCTGGGGTGCCACCTTCCTCCAGCCCCTCCCATGACAGCAGCGGAGACGCGGAGGGAGGTGTGGGCAGGAAGAGGCAGGTGGAATAACATGGATGGGGGACAGAACAGATTTCTCCTCCCAGGCAGCTATGGGTAGTTAACAGACTTGTTATTCATCCGCACCTTCTCCTGTCCACCCCTGTCCCCTGTGTGGGCACTCCCGGGCCCTGGACGGCCGGGCAAGGTTGTCCCCCGGGGCCTCCCTGCTGCAGCCAGGAGCACAGCTGTCCCTCTGTCCCAGTACCGCACCTGTGCTGACTCAGAACACGAAGTGAGAGCAGCCTGGGACAGGTCCTCGCAGCTTCTGCGAAACCCAGAGCATGACTCACACCCGGCAGTTGTGCAAGAGAGGGAGGTGTGTTCTCCAGAGAGAGAGTGCTGGAAGCAGACATCCGATGGGGCTCCTCTGAGAACTGCCATTCCTGACCCACCGGCCCCGGGACCCCGGGGCCATGGCCCCCCTTCAGCCCTCCCCGTTCCCGGAACAGGGACAGGTGAGGGTCGGTGTTCCGGTTCCCTGAGCCAGGTCAGCGGTGCCAGGGGCCAGGTGTGTGGCCCTGCTCCAGGTTAGGACAGGAAGATAAGAGCCAGCTGGACAATTACGTTTTCAAAAAAATATGTTTATTGATTTTAGAGAGAGGAAGGGAGGGAGAAGCAGCGATGTGAGAGAGAAACAATTGATTGGTTGCCTCCCACATGCATCCCAACACGGAATCAAACCTGCAACCCAGGCACGTGCCCTGACAGGGGATCAAACCCCCAACCCTTTGGTGGAGGTGACGATGTTCTCACCAACTGAGCCACACTGGCCAGGGCCAATTACTTTTTAAGGTGCAGCTGGAATTTGTTGGGTGAGATCCTTCCCTACAGTTCCAGCCAGAGCTGGGCTGGCTGCACTGCCGCTGCCTCGGAAGTTGTACTAGAAGCTTCTCCACAAATTATTTATTCCCTTCTTCTCTGATAGTTGTGTTTGCTGTTGTTTTCTCGTGAATGCGTGGGGGCCTGGTGCTGCCTTGCAAACAGCTTTGGGTCTCACAAAATGCACACTGCTCCCGGGGGGCGGGGGGGCAAGCTCTCTGGGGGCCTCTTTCTTTTTTTTCCTTCTAGTTTCCTCTCCCGCTGCTTGATGGTAAGGGCACCTGGGAAGGGCCCAGTAAATACTGGCCAAACCAGTGAGTGGCTGTCACATTTGCATGGCACTTTCCATTTCACAAAGCAGTTTCACTTAATCCTCTGGGGAGAGGCAGGCCCCGCCCCACACTCATTCACGGGTCTGGCGGCTGAGAGCTCAGGTGAGCCCCACTCTTCCGAGGGGGGGGGCAGGTGTGTCGTGTCAGGCTGCAGCACAGAAACCAAAAGAACTGAGGCAATGCTCTGGGTTCTCAGTGACCCGGGGCAGAGCCCTTCAACGGAGGCGTTCAGGAGAGAACTAACCTACGGGTATAGTATTATTCGGGTCCCCACGGTAGCCTTGTGGACAGGGCAACCTCCCCATTTCACAGATGGGAAGATGGGGGCCCAGAGATACCAACTCACTTTCCCAGGCTCACACGGGCAGGCCAGGCCGTGAGAGGGTGAGCTTCAGGACCCGGTCTCACCGCCTGCAGGGGATAATTTCCCCGTGTCATTTGATTCCACCTCTTTGCTCCGTTTTCCCGGGCTGCTTCTTGCCTGCCGCTGACTGGGAAGCCTCCCAGATTTCAAGGATTAGAGAGTTCTGGTTGTGATTTGTTTGGCAACCTTACTGGGTCAGAGAGTTCAAAGTAAGTAGGTAGGTAGGAGCCGCCTTCTTGGACTGCGGTCTGGGGACCCGGGGCCAAAAATGTTACCAGTCTGCTGAGAGAGAAACACAACGCTGAGATCGACACCTTGAAAACTTTAAGGCGGGGTTTTTCAACATCGGCACCAATGATATCTTGAGCCCAACAGGTCCTTAGTGTGGAGGGGTGGGGGCCGCCTTGGGCACCGTAGGATGTGGGGCAGCATCCCTGACCTCTACCCAGGAAATGCCAGGCAGTACCACCCTCCCGGCTGTGACAGCCAAGAACGTTCCCAGATATAGCCAAGTGTCCCCTGGGGGGCCAAGTCACAGCTCCCCACCCCAGTTGAGAAACACCGTTTGAAAGCAATTTGACAGAGGAATTTTATGTCTGTTCGATCTAATAATAAAAATATTGGGCCCTGAAGTCTTCGTTGTTTGTTAATTTCATTTTCCCAGTAATTCGTTTTTATTGATTTTATTAAAGTATCAGTCTGCAAGGCAGTGGGGAAATAAAGAGCAAAACAAAGCTTCCCTTTCACCATCTGTGGTGCAAGTAGCCCTGTCTGGGGGAAGCACACAGCCAAGACACCCCAGATCTTCTCCGTTCCTGGCCCGTCTTGACCAGCAGGAGCTGCGGTCTGTGGACCTAAAGACAGCCTTCTAATGCTTTCATTTACTCTTCAACATGCAGCACAGGCAGCCAGATTACTTTCGAGCTCTTTGCAATACTATTTTTATTGTCTACGCTATCAGCTTCAGCTCTGTATATTAATCTTTCTCTGATTAATCTTTCTCTGAACATGGTCTATAAGAATTCACATATCCCTGAAATATGTAACTACCTTCCAAAATGTCCCACTCTGCCTGCTCCCCCTCGTGACCACTGTGAAGAGAGACAGTCTTCCAGAATTTTAGGTATGGGTGTGTGTACCTATAAATGTACACACATGTGTGTTTTTAAACAAATGGGGCTGTGCTGTATATTCTATCCTGCTACTATCATTCTTCCATGTTCGAGGTTACATGCACAATGCCAGACAAAGGTTTCTATATGGAAACAAGAACAATTCCGAGGAATCTATTTGCAAAGCAAAGAATGTCTCCACATGTAAACCTTTTCAGGTTTTAGAAAGAGTGCACACCCACCGATGTGTAGCCATATGGCTTTCTCTCCTTCAAGTTCACCCAAAAGGATTGTTCTCATGCAGTATTTATTAAAACGTATGTTTTCTGTCTAACGTTATTGAACAAAACAAATACTTCCCTGGACCAACATAACCATCTTAACTGTAAATTGCATTACGTGAAATGCAATCAATATTCTTCGGGTATGCAAGGCTCCTAACATATAATTCTAAACCACATTAATAGACACAGAAGCCTGCCTAAGAGGCTTCTGTAACAGGCTTTGTCTTGTCTAGCTATTGTTCAGATGTCTTCACTCAAACCCTGCATCCTGAACTCAGCATTAATTGCCAAGAGAGCAGGGAAGATGTCATTTAAAAAACAAACAAACAAACAAACCGAAAACACAATTGACAATCACAGGTAAAGAAATGGCAAATTTCAGGTTCGGACACCCAGATCAAACATTCCTTCACGGAAAATCTTTTGAGCTTATTTTAGAGTCTGCGCTCTGGGCTGGGTTCTGGAGGGGGGGGGAGGGGGCGGGATGCAGAGATGGTTAAAATGTAGTCTCTGCCCTGGCAGAGACTTCTTAGGAGGTGGCTTGTCTCTTTAAGAAAGAATATACTTTAAAACATGTTGCTGTTTGGTGATTTAAGCTCATGCGCTGGGTATGAAGCTACATTTTTGCTGCTTAAGTTCATACTAATATCTCCTGTTCAGTGTAGACATCACTCGCCTAACACAGAATTTCTTTAAGTTTTCTTAAAGTAAATTTCTGCTAAATGAATCTTTCTGTTCAAAAAATCAGGCCTTCTGCAAAATCAAAAACAAAACAGAAAACAAAAAAGCACTGCCTCTGAATGTAAGAAAGTTATCATTAAAAAAGCAAGCATCCAAAGTCACATAGGGTGAAAATGCATGCTTCAGAGTGCCCAGCATTTAGCAAGTACTTGGTACATTTTCATTGTTGAATTAACATAGTAACAGTAATAATAATAATATCGGCCATATTTTTTAAGTTCCCTTTTGTCCACAAAAAGCTTACCCATTCACAAAATGTGACCCCAGAAATGTCAGCACAAGCCCACCGCAAAGGGAGCCAGCCATATGGAAGCTCATCTGGAAACGCTGCCAGCAGCTGCCCCTCCCAGCCTCCCAGCCCTGCACCACTGGAGACGTTGCCGTTTCTGGAGCTTTGGGGTTTGGTTAAGTTCTGCTTCACCCTCAGACCTCCCTACGTATGTAGCTAATACCTCTGAAGCAGTTTTCCATAGGTTTGGCTTTCATTCCACTTCTAGAATTTACTTGCATCTTACCAATTTACTCGGTAAACAGGTAAGTACACAGAGAGTGGATTAGTTCCCTAAGACTACAGAATCCCACATCCAAGCCTTAGCATGAGCCGTCTGGTGACTAATCGGGTGAATCGGACCCAGCAAACACCACTCTGCCTCTCATGGGGTGGCAGGTCAAAGACATCCAGAGCTTTCCCTGTCATTGCCAGGCAACCAGAGATACCACGGGGACGCACCGCCTAACAGAAAAGACAGTCGTAGCAGCACAGGTACATTTAAAACCGTCGGAAGAGCTGAATCTGTGATGACGCACCGCTGGAGCAGATGTGGAAACAAGCACTAACTGTAGTGCATAAACCTTTCCTACTAGTTCTTACCTTTTCCCACAACCGCTTTTATGCTCGCTCTCCTCTCATCCCAGAACTTCGTTAAAGAGGTCATCTGCAGCCCTGGCTGGTGTAGCTCAGTGGATTGAGCGCGGGCTGCAAACCAAAGCGTCGCAGGTTCGATTCCCAGTCAGGGCACATGCCTGGGTTGCAGGCCATGACCCCCAGCAACCGCACATTGATGTCTCTCTCTCTCTCTCCCTCCCTTCCCTCTCTAAAAATAAATAAATAAAATCTTAACTAGGTGTTTATAAAAAAAAACAAAAACACAGTTCCCTCCTCACTTTCGGGCGGTGCCACGGGCCTCTCTCCTATCTGCAAACCCTCTTTCCTTTGCTCTCTGCACACAGCCCAACGCCAGTGCCCTTCCTGGATGTGTGTTGGCTTTGACCTTCTTTGCCTTCCCCAGAGCCAGCAAGGGAGCTCCTCAGCCTCTCCTCTACACGGCACCTGCCAACTCCCAGCCAGGCCTTCCCTGCTCTAAGCTCTCTGGCAACCTGGCGCCCTGGTGGACGACCAGGCCCAAATCCCCTTTGTCATGCCACGTCACCCAAGGTGGGCTGGGCAGTTTCCCAAGGTAAAGACTTGAGCCACCGTGCAGCTCTCTTGAAAAAAAGAATATGGCCATGCCTTCCCAAACGGGCCACCTGCCCATGGGCCTCCATCAGCGAGCCCCCGGTACTGTTTATAAGGAGAATCAGGACTCCAGTTTTATGGGAAAGGAGATCCTCGATGTTCTCCCACGTTCTCAAGGGCATCCCTGGCGCCACAGTAGAAGCATAAGAACCACTGACGTTACGTGTTAGAATCTCCTCTGAATTTCAGCGCTGGCCAGAGGTCAGAGTTCAACTGGCTCTTCATCCGTTCCCTCGTCAGAATTAGGACAACAGGGCCTGAACTGAACGTGATCCGCACTGAACAGGAACGGGATCCTCCAGGGTGGATGCTTCCTTCGCCAGGGCAGATCGCTAGGGGAGTGTGCACCTAAGCGGCGGAGGCTTCTTGGGGAAATGCCATGGTCGAACTATGGTTCAAGGTCATGGCCTTGGCTTTTCACCATCAGGTTGTTTTCAGGATCACATTGCTGACAGAAGCCAAGGCGACTCACGTAGAGTTTTGGGAGAACGGGGCAGCCCTTGCCTGCGGAACTGCTGGAGAATCCCCAAGTCTCCCTCGGTCAGAACAGCTGGCCACGTAACACCTTTTCCGAACACCAGCTCCCCCTCCCGACCTCCCCTGATGGCTGAACGGTGGCCCCTCCAAAGCATCTCCATTCAGAACCTGTGAATGTGGCCTTATTGGGACAAAGGGTGCTTAGGGATGTACTTGAGAACCTGGCAATGAGATCTCCCTGGAGTAGGTTGAGCCCTAACCCCAGGTAGGTTGAGGGAGAGGAGAAGCACCCTCATAAGAGGGGAGGGGCAACATGAGGACAGAGGCCGAGACCACAGAGCCGTGTCTACCAGCCAAGGGACACTGGCAGCCACCAGAAGCTGGGAGACATTCATGGAATGCACCCTCCCTCAGAGCCTGTGGAAGGAACCCACCCTGTGAACGGCTTGATTTCCGACTTCTAGCCTCCAGACTGTGAGAACACATTTTATTTTTTTAAGATTTTATTTATTTATTTTTAGAGAGGGAAGGGAGGGAGAAAGAGAGAGAGAGAGAGAGAAACATCCATGTGCAGTTGCTGGGGGTTGTAGCCTGCAACCCAGGCATGTGCCCTGACTGGGAATCAAACCTGCGACACTTTGGTTCGCAGCCTGCATTCAATCCACTGAGCTACGCCAGCCAGGGCTGAGAACACATTTCTTTTCTCATAAGCCACCCAGCCGGTCATTTGTTACGGGGGTCCTCTCAGGTGCACACGCCCCCTCTTTCTGTGGACGTACTGCATTCTCCCACTTCCACTTCTGTCCCTCTTCTGTCCGTTCTCAACAGAACAGCTGGCAGCAGGGCCATTCTGCTAAAAGCACCTGATGGCTTCCCTCCTCGCCTGGTACTGTCCCCGTCACGCTCTCCTCCTTGGTGGGCACGCTCCGATGGCCAGGGAACCAGATGGCTCATTGCCTCACCCCCTTCAGCTGTTCATTTAAAATCCCCTCTGACCTGGCCGGGCAGCTCAGTTGGTCAGAGCATCGCCTTGATGGTCAATGTTGAGGGTCCGATCCCTGATCAGGACACACACAAAGATCAACCAGTACCAGTAACTGGAAAAACAAATCGATTCTCTCTCTTTCCCTACCTCTCTTCTCTCTCTCTCTGTCTCTCTCCTTCTCTCTCTCTCTCTCCCTACCCCTCTTCTCTCTGTCTCTCTCTCTGTCTCTCTCCTTCTCTCTCTCTCTCTCATTGTTTCCTCTTTTTTTAAAATCCCACCTGTGCCCCGACCAGTGTGGCTCAGTTTGTTGGGTGACGTCCTAGGAAACAGAAAGGCACCAGTTCAATTCCCAGGGCACATGCCTGGGCTGTAGGTTTGGTCCCCGGTGAGGGTGCAGATGAGAAGCAAGTGATCAAACTGATTAACGTTTCTCTCTCACATAGATGTTTCTCTCCCTTTCTTTCTTTCTCCCTCCCTTCCCTTCTAAAAATAATAACAATAAATAAAATCTGAAAAATGAAATCCCCTCTGTGAGATCTTCCCTGACCACCCTGTTTCAAATGGCACCTGCCATGCTCCCTTGCTGCCTCTTTGCTTAATTTTTCCCCCAACGACACACTACCATCTCACATGCTATGCCTTGTAGTTACTTATGTTACCTTTTTGTCTGTGTGGCCCCACCCCTTAGTTGAATGAATGAATGAATGAATGACTTGGTGCCATTCATCCAGGGGAACTCTCTACGTCACCTTCGGCTCTTCCATTTTAGGTCTCACTCCCCACATCCCAATTCACCCAAACTTGCCGGTTCTTCCTTGTGAGTGGCCTCAAACCTCTCCCCTCCTCCTTTTGGTCACGGCTACTGCCACCATTTTTCCCAGTGACTCAAGAGTTCGCTTCCTAAAGCGTCTAAATAATGCCTTGGGTCTTCTTCCCTCGGTATAGCCTAAACCCTAAATTGCCACTATCGTGGTAATGTCCCTGAATATAGCACTTTGTTAATATCTCTCTTCAACCAAAAAAAAAAAAAAAAAAAGGAGGGGGGAGCCTGCAATGGCTCTGAAAGACGACATTATGAGGGACCTTTATCTTCCTCTTCACACTTTTCTGTTTTTCTAATTCTTCTACATTAAAGGTATACTCTTCTTACTAGAATAAGCTGTTGAAGCTAAAACCCGCCGAGGGTTCCCTCTGGCCTACACGACAGCCCTCCGACCCCAGCGCAGCCCCCACTGTCTGTCTGAGGCCCTGAGCGCCCCTCTCTTCCCCTCCAATAGGCCCACCCTCTCCGTGCACGCCAAGCTGAACCACGGCCGACCTCGCTCCAGTGAGAAAGTCTCCCTTGGACCCCATTAAAGGAAACCAGATGTGCCGGGCAATTCCAAGGCACGAGGGGCTGCGGACGTGGTCAGATGGAACACATGTGTTACAGCCGCACATCTGACCAAGTTAAGAATTCCCAAAGGCAAGCACTCCAGGTCCCGGTCACGTTCCTCATTCCTGAACTCTGGAATGCCTTCCCCTCGCTCCGTGATTCGTAATTTGAGTTGGGGATGTTGTACTGATTTTTCTCGCTGCTTGCTTTTTTAACACTGGCACAATCGCTGTGCTTTTTACTATTCAACAGACCGTAAGAAATCTAAAATGCAAGCCCTCCTCTGATGATAAATGAAATTGATTTTTCAAAACCGTTTGGATTCACCAGAAGCAACTGCCTTTTAACACTTGTCTGAACTCCTACCTAATTATTTTTAGGGCTTTGGGCTAGAAAGCAAATTGCATTATGTTCTTCTAAAAGTATATACTTACACAACCGTCTGTAATCCCTTCAAAGCAATCTTTGCAAGTCACTACTGGAATACAGAACGTTATAAATTCTATTAGATCATAGAATTACAGGGCTGGAAGTGATCTTGAGAACTGACAGAGCCCAGATCCGACAGATTCCCACTGTCCTCAAAACCACATCTGAACTATGCCAGAAAAATAAATGACCAAATGTACTCAATCCAAAATTCCTTTCCGCTTCCACCTCCCCAAGCCGTAAAAATATTTTCATGTACAATGAGAACAAATCCATAAACATTTAAATTCAAAAAGGGAATTGGGAAAGAACTTTCCAGTGCCGGGGTCCAGGATGATCCGCCTCACTGTGCACATCTGTAGGAATCTCATGTGGATCCTCTGGGCCACTCGCCTTGTCAGTCACTGGGTCGCCAGACAGAGAAGCCCCCGGAGCCAAATGGAGTCAACTGAGTTGACCCCACTCACATAACCATGATAGAAGCTAGCAGAAAAAAGAGACAATTTGGGACCTTTACATTAAACCAATGGCTTTGTATTACCAAGGCCAGGTTAATTCTACCTTGGGCAAATGCACAGAAGCTTTTTTTTTTTTTTTTTTTAACGTGGTCAAGGCAGGTCAGGACCCACCCAGAAATGAAATGTACACTAGCAGTCCCAGCGTCACCTTCATGGCCACCAGCCTCCCAACCCCGGCCCTGCTTGCTTTTCCCCTCTCTCCCCAGCCATTCAGCCCCATAGAACCCCTCAATTAGAACAGCCGCACAGATGCGCTCAGCGTTCATTCATCCAGCCTGCGGTTTCTGAGGTCCTCCTGCCCTAAGCACTTTACGGGATGTGTTCTCCTCCCAGCCTCGCTGCGTGACTCTGATGTGGGTACCGCGATAACCATCGACGATCATCGCTCAGCTGATACAGGAATGGAGGCACAGAGAAGTGCAGTCACTTCCCCAGGGTCACGGAGCTGGTAAGTAGTAGATGGAACAAACAGACTCGCACCCAGGAAGCCCAGCTCCCACGGGGCCACGTGGTCAGGCTGCCTCCTTCGGTTCTCTCGCAGGCCTGGGGACCCCTGGTGGCTGCTCCCAGCAGCGAGAGGAAGAGGAAGAGAGCCGGCCTGGTCTCCTCTGGGGGTGGGGAATAGCTTCTCCAAGGGCCAGACAGTGAAGTTCAGGCCAGCACACAGGAGAGCCAGCCATGGAAAGAGACAGAGAAGAACGCTTCGGTCTGGGAAATAAATCCACCCACCCATCCGTTCACTCATTCATTCATCCACCCACCCATTCACCAGTTCATTCAGGGTATGACCCCAAACTGCCAGGGAAGGCTGCTTGCTGGGAGGCGTTAACCGGGCAGCCCACTCCCCCAGCAGGCAGCAAGCAGAGGTGGATGTTCGCATGCTCATTAGGCCTGGAACTCTTCACCCGCCCCTGGGGTCCTCACAGGAAGGCACTTGGCAGGCGAGGCCGACTCTGGATGAAGGTCCTTCCCGGGATTTATTGGTCACTAACACGCTCTGTACGAAAGAAGGCCCAGGGAGTGCGGAACCATGGGTGAGCTGAGGTCTCCCTCGGAGCTCCGGGGAGGAGGCCATGCCGGAGACCAGATGGAAGTGGCGCCTCGGCCCCGCAGGGGGCCACTCCGTCCTCCCTGTGACCGCCCAGTGTTGGACTTGCACACTTAAAAACAAGACCAGAGGGGACACCCGGTGTGCATCAATGGTGCACTTTCTACATATCTTTCCTCCACTTGAATTTAAAAGTCCACCTAACACGCAACGCCGCTCACTTCCTGGTTACCATACGGCAAAGACGTCTGAGCTGCAAGGGACCTCTGAGAGCAGCCAGCCCAGCACTGACCCAAGGGTGTTCCATGGAGCCCTGGCCAGAGGCATGTTCCGCCGAGAAGAAATAGATCACGGGTCAAACTGACAAAGGCTGCACACTATTTATTTTAGGGGCTCGCAACGTCAGCTCCAAACAGAGCTCGTGGGTCTCAACACATCCCGGCCGCCACCACCTCATAAACCTTCTCCAGGGCAGTATCTCTCGCTCCATATTCCCGACGCAGGAACCACACTGTCCATCCACCCAACGGCGCAAGCCAGGGAGCTGGGGGTTCTTTAGGACACCTCTCTTTCCCTTACCTCCTGCAATCGCCTCTCCACTTTTTTCCTCAAATCTCTCCACTTTTGCCCCATGTTCACTGCCGTCACTCAGCATTGCCAGTGTCTCTCCTCGAAAACACTACAGCCCTCCTCCCAGCTCTGCTTCCGCCAACCTGTTCTCTACCGAGTAGCCAGAAAGATGTCTGCAATCGCTTTCTGTCTACCTTGAGATGCAGTCCAAACCCCGCCCGGCCACAAGGCGTCTAAGGTCCATCACGATCTGGCAGCAGCCTGGACTTGGGCCAGTTTTGTGAAGTTCCAGGCTCTTGCCTCAGCCACACCTCCCACAACCTGGGCAGCTCCAACCACCACCCACCCTCCCAGGTCTCTTTGAGGGCGAACCCCGCTGCACGTTCCTGATTCCCCTCCATGACTCCCTGGGCCCTGGCTTGCCTCGCTCAATGCCTACTCTCTACACAGAATGAACTCTGCTGGACAGAGGCTGTGTCTTGGCTTTGGGGCCTCCACCTCCGCGGAGGTCTGGCTTAGAAGGCATTCAGTAAATGCATCTGAATGAATAATAATAGGCAAGGTAAAATAAAATTACCCCCCCCCCTTTTATACTGCACGTAACTCAGAATTTCCCAAATGAAACTGTCCACAAAATTCTTTTCTCATGCAGCCCACCAGACCTGGCTTCTCGGAATCCTCAGGGGGAAGGCGGATCCAGCCCAAGTCTCTCCTTCCACAGCAGATTCTGAGGCTCAGAGAGGTGAAAAGGATGACCCAGTTAGGCAGCCCTTTGGGTAGCCTGCTCCACCTTTTACAGGATGTGGCTCTGGGGGAAGTTGTTTACTTTCTCTGATATCTATATATCTGTATCTACCTGATGGGTTTTTTTTTTTTTTTTGAGGGTGAAATGAGATAATACCAGTAAAGCTCTTAGCACAGTCCTTGGCAGGGTGGCAAATCTCAATAAACATTACAGGGAGCAACTTAACTTGGGTACCACAGACCTAGGACTAAGACTATTTCTATAAAGATCTACGGCTAAACTCCTCTCCACCCAGGTGACCTCTATCATCAGTACTTGTTCTGATAGTTCATGTTATTTTTCCCTAGGTCAGCAGGGGAGGAAGAAATCTTTTCCTCTGCCTTCTCATGCTCAGTGTCTGGGGACCTATGAATTAAGCGGACAAAAGACAGAATGGTAAGGAAAACAGCAGAGTTTCTGTATGTATATAGAGCTCATACATGCTGGAGTGTTCACAGGGGCAGTGAGAACATGAAGCCAGCTGCTACACCTAACTTGGTAGGGAAAGGGAAGGGAGAGAAAAGGCCAGGGTGGAAAGAACAAAGGCGTTTTTTTTTAGGAAAGACAAATGGATTTTCAGAACAACAGAGGTAGGAAAGCTTGTGATAATCTTGTCTCTACAGGTTTGAGTGGCCTTTCCTGTCTTCTTCAGAGCCGTAAAACTTCCCCAGAGAGGGCATGTATGAGTAGACCCACTCAAGGAGGGAGTGAGTATATGGCAGACTTATTTCCCAGAAGTTGGTGCTTTTGGTCAGAGAAGGGGAACTCCCAAAAGCTTTTGGTCAGAGAAGGGGTTTTAAGAAACATTTATTTTTTTGTTCATCTGTTGATTCTTAATTGCTTTCAGCTCAAAATAATTTTATGCCAAAGTGGCGTATTTTGGGTGGTATAGCCTGATTCCTTTCAAGTCCAATAAGCATTACAAGTGGGGGGGGGGAGCTGATGTATTCTACTAACCTCTAAAGATAACGACACCAGCAATGTGATATAAATGAAATAATGTAAAGTATAAAATATTGTACAAACTACAATGATTGCTATTATAAATATTCCCACCTTAGTCAAAGACAAAACTCCCAAAATTTATAAGGCTGTCACTAGAGCAGTTATCTACCTTTAAAATATAGCATTTGGTATCATTCCTAGTATCTTTCTTACTATATTGCCCTTCTTAGATTATATATGTTTTTTAAATCTCCGAGTCAACTAGCTTGCACTTTAGAAATCTCTAAGCTTTTTGTACACACCATTTTCTCTAGGACAATTATTAAGTATCTTTTATTAAATTTGAGGGGTTTTTTTTTTTCATTTTTCTGAAATTCTTAAGCCAGCCTCAATGTTCCCAATTTCCCAAGTTTTTCTCACTGATCACAATAGGTAAGTAGGAAGTGAGCTTGGGCATTTTTCCTGGTTTTGTCTTTACAGGAAGAAAGAACAGTAAGTTACTAGGAAAACCATAAAAAAAATATTGAATAAAAGCTTTTGTTTGAGCAGGTGTAGGAAATTTATCGGTTTCTCCAAAAGGAAACTTTTAATTAAAATAACAACAACAAAAAGCAAAAGTATCCTTAGGAAAAAATGTAGCTCATTCCAATATCCTGAAAGGTTTATTTATTACACCTAATTCATATTTTAGTTTTGGGGCCGTCATTCCTGCGACATAAAACCCGAGGTTCAGCCCCACGTTCTCAGCCAATAAACCCTGTCCCTTAAGGGAAATACCTTCCTGTTTTCTTGGTAATGTTTTTTCATGTGAAAATACCGAAGTACGGATAAACTCCCAGTGTGTCCTTAAACTTTCATAATAAATTTTTACAGTTTCAAAAGGTCACCAATGGCTTGCATTTTCGAGTTCTTGCACAGAAATACCCGTCCCCCTGCCGTGGGTTGAAAGAACATGAGTAACTTATGGGTGATTTAAACGTCCGAAGCGTTTCCTTCTTAGCACACGAGGGTTTTCCTGCGGGGAAACCTCCAACTACCGGAGGGAAAGAGGAAGTCTCGCTGGAGCCACCTGTTTGACCCCCCGCTGGCTCGGTCTCAGTCCCGAAGCAGGAGAGCCGTGGGTGTGGACGGTGGGGATTTCTGAGGAAGGGGCTCGCACGGACGAAACAAAGCCCAAACCTGGTACCTGCCCACGCCCGGAGAGGGACAGGCGGGAGCGCGCCCTTTCCCTCCCCGGCCTGGCTGCCTGCCTCGGGCTCCGCCACGTGCCTCTGAAACTGACCCGAAACAGACAAGAACCCGCGGCCCCGAGCGCCCTCTTTTGGGCGGGAGTCAAGCACCGTGACTCGGTTTCCTTGGTCCTTTAGCCCCCGGTCCAGCCTGGTGTGGGCCTCCAGCACTTCACCCAGCCTACCCCCCAACTCTCCGAGCCCTCGTGGCTGCCAGTCACGCGGCCAGCTTACTTTCACATTTAGCTAGGTGCTACCCACAATGCATTTGTCAAAATAGTATGCAAAACAGTTAGTGATTAACATAATCCTTACAAATATTGCTTTAAAAGAGGGATTTTGAGGGTTTTTTTACATTGTATTCAGTCAGAAAGGTGTACACATGGTATTTTGCATAATTGTGACATAGATCATGAAAAACGCCCTAACTGTAAAAAGAATTTGAATGGGGCCTATAAATACCCAGAGACTACGCCTTTTTCTCAGTTGGTCCGAAGGTTGTGGGTTATTGTTAAGTTGATTAACATTGTCTCCCCCCACCACCACACTTGACTGACTGTGTGTTTTGCCCCTATCAGGGGCGGTCTTCCCAGTATGTTAGTTTTTCTTAAAAGCATACAAAAGTACCTTTTTAGTTTATGATCCCAAAGGAAAAGATATTCAAAATACTCTACTTCGGTATTTTTTCCTGGTAAAAATCATCAAAGTGCCTAGAGAGAAACTCATACAAAAAGAATAATTAGACTTAAACCAATTAAAGAATGTATTTGGTTGTTAGAAATCTTATAAGATTATTATTTCATAATTAAACAACATGCACTTTTTCATTATAAACCAGAAGGAAGGAGGGAAAAGCCAACAGAAGAAGCTCCTTTTAAAGATACATATATTATGATCTCATGTACTTGTAAGTGTGTATATAAATGCATGTATGTTTGCAGATAGAAGAAAATCTGGAGAATATACAACAAATAATTGTTTACAGAACTCTAGGGAGTGGGATTCCAGAGGAGGACATGTAAAGAAATTTTCAGAAGATATACAAAATTTGTTGCTATAAATTTAATAATTGTTTTAGTTGTCTGTGAATGAGCAGATAATGCCTATTTTTTGCATTGCTTGTTCATTTATTTCACATACACAAAGTGCATAGGTTCACAGACCAGGGTCAATGTCCGATTTAAAACCAGGTAGTAAAGGAAGTGCGTATCAGTCTTCCACTCTGTGGCAAAACTTCCTGACCCCACCCTCATCCATCTTTTCTGCCTGCAGGTGTTAGCCCGCAGCCATCACCTCTATAGTCCAATTGCTGCAATCATTTAGAGTCAATCAGCTAAGAGCCGATCGACAGGTTCCAACACAGCGGCTTCTTCACTAGCAAACAAACTTGACTGCCTTGTTGAGAAATGTGTGTCCTCTGTTGTAAAAGTGCTAAAAAAAATTAATAAAAACTTGGAGGAAAGGCCCTGTTTACTAAATTGCGGTAGATGGAAAGGGCATCATTTGATAGTAATGAACATGCTTAGCTGGAGAGCCCCTATCACAGGCTTGTTGAAAATGGGTGCTTTGTACCAATCAGCTTGTTGAACTTAATATTTAAATCCAGGATTTAAAAGCATTAACATCCAAAGTCCCCAAATTCTAGGCACTAGGAATTCTAGAAGTTCTAGAATACCAGAAGCTTGTTCAACTTTATAAACTTGATAGGCATTTCCATAATCCATTCCAGGTGACTAAAATCTATCACTCCTGGCTGGTGTGGCTCAGGTGGTTGAAACATCCTCCTGTAAACCCAGGGGTCATGCAATGGATTCCCGGCCAGGGCACATGCCTGGGATGCAGGTTCAGTCCCAGTCAGGCATGTGAGAGAGGCAACCAACCCATGTTTCTCTCCTCCTCTCTCTCCCTCCCTTCCTTCCCTTCTCTCTAAAATCAATAAGCATGTCCTTAGGTGAGAATTTAAAAAATAATAATAAATAAATAAGTAAAATCTGGCAGAGGTCAGGGACCCTGGGAAGGAAAGGGACTAGAACGAAGCTTTTGCTTCCGTCCTTTCAACCCATGACCCAGGTCCAAGATGACAATGATTAAGATCATGTTCTTATTGTCATAATTTTTCCACAAAAGTTATGCAAGGAATTATGCAATGATCCTACATTCTGGTATCTGTGTCCTTGCCTGAGGTCTGAACTTACTGACTCATTGTAAGGAAAAGAATAAGGCAAAAGTAAAGGGGTGTCTATTGTGCATTTTATCTATCTATCTATCTATCTATCTATCTATGTTTTTTTTCTCCCTCCACTATTGGCTATTATGTAACTATGTTACTTTGTTTTTGGAAACTGAACAAACAGCATCAATGACATCATATATATTCTATATAGAAGAGAATTGGTGTTTTTGCTTATAGTTATACAGGGCCCGGCACAAATAACGCCTTGTTTTTATTACAAAATATTTTATTACAAAGTCATAAGCATGTAATTCTGTAACATAATGGTATCACAGTCGAGCACACCATGTGACATTTTAGATGAAATGTTCACATTAAAACTCTAAATTAGCTCTGGCTGGTGTAGCTCAGTGGATTGAGAGTGGGCTGTGAACCAAAGTGTCGCAGGTTTGATTCCCAGTCAGGGCACATGTCTGGGTTGCAGGCCATGACCCCCAGCAACTGCACATTGATGTTTCTCTCGCTCTCTCTCTCTTCCTCTTTCTCCCTCCCTTCCCTCTCTGGGAATAAATAAATAAAATCTTTTAAAAACCCTCTA